ATAATAAAAGCCCATTGTAAATAATTTGGGACCATTATGGAGCCGGATATGAGAGCCGACGCGTCCCCCGAATGGCACATAGAAGACACCTGGAACCTTTGTGTAATGCCATTGTGGCACGCACATACAACTCTTCTGACTCGGGAACCGCACTGTATAAATATAAAATTACGTACACGCCGTATTAGACTGTTGTATGTGCATGTATATAATATAATATCCGCGGGGTCTGTGTATTATACATTATTATATATATTATACACTGCGCATGTATATATGATAATATTATATTATGTTATTATATATGGGACACCGCGCGCGTTATGGCCGGCATCAGGATTCGCAATAATATAATAAAACCCTTAAGAAAAATGATTACATCCGTTAATAAATATTTGCGGTCCTTGGTTGATGTATTATACACCGGGTCGAGGGGGCGGGGCGTCGTCGTAATTTCATCTTTGCAAAAGAAAACAATCGTGTCGCATAAAACGTACATGCGTTTTAAAATACCGAGTCACCAAAAATGTCTTTTCGTATAAACTGCAATAATACGACCGATGCAGTATACCGTATACCGCATGTTATGTACCTATGTATTATTATTATTATTATAGTATAACGTTATGCAAATATTTATGTATAAGCTGAAAACAATATATAAGATGCGTCGTTCGAATTTCAATTTTCAATATGATTAGTCATTAGATATATATATTATATATATGCACCTCGTACACGATATAGAATATCATATATATGGGTACCTGCTCCTATGCCAAATAAATATGGGTAAAAATATGCGTTCAACAAAAAATTAGAATGATTACCATTTCAATAGAAACTATATAACTAATAATAATGAGTGTATTTTATTACGTTTTGAACCTGGATTGTTGTTTAATTTTGCAGAACATAATTATATTAGGTAGGCGTACATTGTATAAATTGTCATAGTAAATAATTGACCAAAAGAATCCATCTGTTTAGAGATAACGCATAAGACATTTTGAGACTAAAATTATGTACCTATACTTGAAGTTATGCTTTTAAAAATATATTTGAAATTAATTGCTGTTGTAAAAACTTTCATAATTTTGAAAATATTTAAATAATGAGATAAAATAAAAAAACATATATACAAATATGCGTTTAAAATAATTAATACATTGTGGTAATAATGTCATTGTGAATTCAAGAGTTAATCATTTTAAAACGTAGTTGATTCTGAACACTTAAAAATAAAATGTATTCGTTCAATTTCAAAACTAATGTAAAGTAGCTTTATAGCTTTATGTTTAAATTCGGTGTCTAATTACATTCCGTATGAAATGACGAGTTGCTTGTTTTCAACTCGTTTTCGCGAATAAAAGGCTAAAACAAAACTTTTCATCTGCAGATTAACTTTGCGGTCCTTTTTTAGCATCTCTAGGAGGGTTTTGTTGTACAAACGACCTAAATTAATCATATGTATATGTATGATTAGTAAACTATGCGTATAGAACGAAAAGTTTATAGAATAAAAATAAACGTGCGATGGTAATAACGACTAAATGAAAAGTCTTGCAGCACACAAATTAAATATATCATAGGTACATCGTATGGTTTCACTTGCCTATACGACACAATAATTATTAATTTCAGCCGAGTAAATTAACGGTCGGCGGTTTTTTATCCGGCCGGAATCGACTCATTTTGCAGAGAGAAGAAAATATAGATTCGTCATTTTTTTTCTGGGCTTTCGATAAAACTACGCGGTGTAAACGATCGATCATATAAAAATAAATATAAATCTATAAAAATAATAATACTTTGTGCGAGGACTGGGAGTTTGTTGTACTTGTGTAGATATTTTTATACGTATATACATGCGCCAAGGGGTAAAAAGCGGCGAATAAAAATGTTGCACGGTGTATTACAAGGGTATAAATGGCGCGCGCGTGTGTCCGAGCATCAATGGTCGGGTGGAGGTGAGGGTGTAAGTCCTTTTGAATTCCGAAATTGATTCGATAAGAATCTGTGCGGACCGTTACCATGGCTACTGTCGACTTATGAAATGGACAGTTTTTCGACCAAATGTACCTTTATCCCTCCCCTCGACGAACCCCACTACACTGCCCCATCTCCCTAATTCAATTGAGAAATCTGTTTCCACATATAACACAACACTATCCAACAAAGACCTAAAAATGTACATTATTATTATTATTATATATATAAGCGTATATAAAAGCGAAAGTCGATATCATCATCTTCAACGACAACTGCAGAATATACAAAACGACAAACTGTGTCCTGCATTGTTATAACAACAATAATATGGTGATGTCACGGCGACAGCGGTGACCTCAAAAAATAGCTGTGTACGATATCGTATGGGGGGGCAGTCTTGAATAAACTATTTCGTTTTCTCTATGGAATAAAGCTCAGTGCGCGATCACATTTTTTTTTAAAATAATAATTACAGTTGCACGTTATATTATTGCAATTTGTAATGTGCACTGAATTAGACGCCTATGGCATAAGACTATTTATGATGCACTGTACCTACCCGTACTAGTATTCTGCGGGCATCTGCGCGTCGTAAACATGTATGAATAATTTGTTATTCAGGATTTACAAGCTCCACAAGTCATCTCCAACACAATTAACAGCATTCAGTTGCAGGTTGACTATGTACCTATAGACGCATTTAAATCGCAAATAAAATGACATTTGTATATTATGCGAGTTATATACGAATGACGTGTACGCAATAGTTCAGTTTAAAAATGCTCAAATATCTTAGAAAAATTGAATGTGGCGTGCGCACAACAACAAATAATGTTATCAACTTTGAATTCGATAATAGGTAAATTTTCTTTGATATTAAAGCTGACACCGCAAAATTGGTTCTGTTGAACTCAAATTCGCTATAATTCAAGTGGTCAAAGAGAGAGATAGAGAAAGTGCGCTGACATCCTCTGAAGAAAACACGTTATTAGGTTCATCTACTTTACAAGTGAGAGCAACGCGAATGTGCTTTACAATATTAATATTTCTCCACCGTCCGTATGGTGTTTAACTCAATTTTGTAAAATAAAAATAAAAATTATACATTTAAAAATATGTATTCTCAAATTATATTTATTGACTTTCAAAAGTCCAATAATATATAGTTATAAATAATTTATCACATATAATTTGTGTTTGTATATTGTAAAGTATGAGTACACTTCTGTGCAAAAATAAGGTAAAAATTGTTTTTTAAGTTCGTTCTTATAGATTACATAGAATACGATATGTTTTACAAATAATAAATTAGTTTTTTGAAATAGGTAATGTTTGAGGAACATAAAAATATGTCAATAAATTAATTTAACTTTCGTAGTTTGCAAAAGTACTTTCGAACACAGATTTCATAATATTATAAAAATTATTGCTATATTTTTATTTTCAATAGGTATATTTTATTAAAAGTGAAGAAAATTGTAGTTAATAAGATAAAGTTAAAAATATTGAGTGCACTGAGCACATTTTTCTTGATGAAAGCATTTCGAGTGATAAGATTTCAAAATCGTACAATTTTTTGTTATTTTTTTTTTGTTTATTATTATTTGTTTAACAATATCAGCTATCTTAATAAGTATAAAAATAAATTTATAATATTTAATCATCCACATCTAATTATGTAGATAGAGGAATATCTACTTTTCAAGCCCATAGTAAATTCTAAACATGGGCGATGCAAGGAGGGTGCAAGGTTGGTAAAACATTTGGTTTTTTAGTAATATAATTCAAAATTATACATTTTTATTCAGTTTTAATACTGTTAAGATTATTCTTCTTCTTTGAGATTGTCATTATTTTATCATATTTCGGGGCATTCTTATCATAATAAAATCATCACCTAACCTTTTTTAGTTTTTAGAATACATATAATAAGTTTAATAACAAATGCATTCTTTATAACTTTTAAGCCACAAACAATCTAGTTGATGGTTTGAGTTAAAAATAAATAAATAAAAACTCACATTGTTATTATACTAACAGAGTTGTATTGAAAAGCTACGGAATTCTATGAATCAATTCAGTCGTGTTTTCGGTTATTGAATTGGTTATAACAGTATATGAAATCCCTAAAATTGTTTGGGAAAACTTCTGATTTTTTTTATTTATTGTACCCAGCTTAGTAGACTTACGTTAATATAAAAACATGTTTTACAATTTTAGTCGGTCCCGTAGTGAGGTGACTGTTGGTGTATTGTGTATAATGACGACGATTGACGGTGTCACGAAATGGCGTTGACTACAAATGTAGAGTTCATTATAAATGTATTATATTATGTAAAAATGCTACGGAGAAAGATGTTTATTCTATATGCTAATGAAGTTGATGTCATGTTGAAGTATTGACATATTTGACAGTATTCACTTATGGCCGTTATTATTGTAACTATTATTATTTATTACTTTTGAGTAGTAGACGAATTAAATAACTATGGTACGGTTGCATCTACGTACCTACTTGTGAACCAAATCGTAAAACTCTCCAGTTCTCGCCACTCGCCGGAGTCGTGAATAATATTCTAAATAAATATTTTGAGCTAGTCGTTCTTTTTATTAACAAATAGGTTTACGACTTACAATTTTGATTATAACTGATGCGCCACTGCCACATATAGTAACATACCATAATATACGCACAACATTTTATTAATAAATACACATTATTATGCTTTTTGAAAATATTTATTGAATCGTGTATATTTTTATGTATGCATGTCATGTTTTATGCGTCGACTTTTGTAAATTATTAATATTTTTTCTCATGAATACATATTATCATGAATTGATTTATAGTTGAAAACAAGGATATAGGTAACAAATAAACTCACCGTGAATTATTCTGCTGAACCTACGTCGTTCACCAAATGGCTGTAAAAATACAGAAAATTGTAGGTAGGCATTCACACGTTTAATATGCAAAAATCGTGAGAAATAAATAAATAACGCATCGATGTATATAATAATATTATGTCTTTTTAAATCAACATTTCACTTATTTTCGTTTAAAGATTACATGATTTGTTTAACTTAAGGTTTAGTGGTAAATTAAGTATAACCGTACATGTGTTTATAAGTGCAAACGATTATCCAAACGTACCTTCACTAAATAAATAATATTATTAACAATCATTAAATATAATATGTACAACGTATTTAAAGGGGGATATAATATCATAGTATATTCACATTGTAATTACAAGTTATTATGATTTATTATATTAATATATATATATTAAAACCGTTTACTCCCGACATATTATTATACAACAGAGATTACAAGCCGTAAACAAAACAGTGAAAACGTATTTACCTATTTTAGTAATTTGTGTGAACTGTATACATAATACACATACTTGTAGGTACATAATAATAATAATAATAATAATATGTACCGATATTGCCAAGTAAGTGTTGAGTATTATCATTCTAATATTGTATAATGATCGGCGCACAAAAAAAGCTAATAATGGCCATAATATAATATAATATTAATTATTGAGATAATAATAATAATAATAATAATAATAATGATCGTCGTTGTCGAAGCGTTGCGTACGCGTGGGCGGGCAACACTATACAATGGGGTAATAGGGCAGGGGGAACATCGAATAAACAAAAAGAACAAAACGCACACACCGCGGACTATAAGTCGTACATGCGTATTTTATGTACAGAACGAATGTTGAAGATTTGACGAATTATTGAAAAAAAACGTAAAACGGTCCGTCCGCCTCTATATACACTGTCTGTACATAATTTCGGCTAAACATACCTCTATATTATACGTCACAATAACCATACGATGAGGGCCGGTGGGGAGTAACTATGTACGTGCGGCACGGCGCCATACTTAATAATATTATCGTTTTATAATATTACACGATACCGTATAATTGTATTGCTCTCTACATTTTTACATAATAACAATAATAATATGCACAAATACCTAAAAAAAATAAATAAAAAAATTATGCGATGACTAGACGTTTTGGATAGGCATAAATGTTATAATATGTATTATATATAATAATAAAGTTGTATATGTATAAAATATTTGTGTATACTTATGAGTAGGTATATAGAAATGTACAAATAATAATAGTAGTGATGATAATAATTTAATTTATCATCATCGTCGGAATTGTACAACGTGCGCATGGTTAACGGCGGTGTACCTACAAGTATACTCGGATCTCGACGGGCTTATTCGTGAGTCTTCAGGTCCAAGGTGCCAGGGTGACCGACTCCTGGCCAAGCCTGATGCTATATACTTCCACCGATGCCACCGCCACCGCCACCTCCACCGCCGCCGCCGCCGCCGCCTCCGCCTCCGCCTCCGCCTCCGTAGTGCGCGGCCAATTCCCTTTTGAGCCGTTTGGCCGCGCTGTCGTCACGCATGTCTTCGTCTTCGTCGCTCTCGTCGGCCGCCTCTTCTTGCTTCCTCTTGGCCGTGGCCATCTCGGCGGCGTGCTTTTTCCGCCACTTGGTCCTCCGGTTCTGGAACCACACCTGGAAAACGACAAAAACACGCGAGTTCAATGTCTAGACGAGTACACAATTTTCGGCGTTTAATCGTAACAATGCGCAGGGTCTTTAAGAAATAGTGTATGTAGTCAAAGACGCGCGTCAAAGTCTGCAAACGCGCCGATATCGTTTTTTTAAAGCAACTGCAGTCCGCGTGTAAATTATTGCGCGTATATGCGTTGAACAACTGCAGTTTAACGAAATCTTAAACCGGCGGCGAGTGGCACCCATATTCTGATGCAGCGCGCGAGGGCGGTTGCACGACGGTTGTGGAAGCGAACTGTGTATATAGGTATATATACTTCTTGCACTGCTCACGAGTGTGTGTATGTATATATTTAATATATGTGTAAACCATATATAATAATATTATCGTTTTCCACATAATTAAAAGAGTTAAGACCACGGCCATTATTTCGTAGGCTTCGCCGGTGATGGTGGCGGCGGAAAGGGGTTTTTACCGGGTATATGTATATAAGGGCGAGTGTACTGCTGCAATACACGACTATACATATTATATTATATACCTATTACGTATGTATAATGTATATATATATGTATATGTATATATAGGTACGGGGCGGCGAGAGGAGACGGAAGGGCTAAAACTTTATATTATATCGCTGTATGCGATTTTAATTATAAAGTTAAACCATTTGCGGGGGGAACGGCCCGTAATTAAGACCGTCCGGGGGCCGTTTGTGCCGGTGTATTTGCAAATTACGCGGTATTTAGGCGTCCATGTATTCGCCATTAATCAACCCCCGGGCTTTTGCAAAGGTCGTTAGACGGTCTTGTTTTTAATAACCGCATTAAGACGACGCCATCTGGACTGCGCGCGCGCTCACCGCCGCCGCCGCCACCACCTACTCATCGGCCGTCCCCCTATAACGCCCCCCCCCTGTTCCATCGCAACCACCATCCTCAACTCGCCGACGCTCGGTAGTCCGTGGCGCGCTTACCCCTTCTACACCCCCCTACGTATCTGCGTTATACAGCAATAATCTCGGCGTCACATCTTGCAACGTCTTGCGAATGCCACCCCGCCCGACCGTGTTCGATAATACTACTAATTGCGGGGGGACGGTTTGCTTTACAAGCTGACGAGATCAAAACTGCCGCGAGAGGAACCACCAAGGCGAGTGGAGTGGTAATTCGCAGTGTTGCCAACCCCATATAACGATGACGACGACGGTAGTTTATGTCTTCCACCCCTCCCCCCAACATGCTACCCAACCCGCTCCGCCCACTACAGACCACCACCTAGTTGGACTACGCGTGCACAGCAACGTCCGTCGATGTACTTATACATTATGTATAGAAGAGTCGATGATCTAGACGGGTAAACAACATATTACGATGTACAATCGTTTTAAAGACATTATCTACTAGACCATACTCGATGTTGTCTTGTATAAATATTTTATAACATTTAATTGAACTAAGCAATGGCCAGGTATAGTAACGTTAATTATGAAATCAACTCAACAGGAACTGACAGTTTTATCACGATTCTGGTGCTCGAGGTACACAAATTAAGTTCTTATAATATATATGACGTACTACGACAGTGGCCGACCGTTCCCATCGATTGCACTATCGAGGTATTACATACGTGTATTTTATGATGTATAGGTACTCATTTTTTACATAAATAGGTACGTACATAGGAGAGTAAAAAATACACTGAATAGGGTTTATATCTATATAGTGATAACGTGGCTCTGAACAAGTCGATCTGATTAAACAACTCGGTGATAAAATATAATATAGGAATATAAAAAGAATAACGAACGGTATAAAACGAATTTGAAGGCAGCTTTAATTTAACATTTTCATTTTTATGTTCCATTCAAATTAATTAACGACGTCGAGCACAAGGTATTAAAGGAAATTAAATCGGATGAAAATTAAAAACGGCTCTCGGAAGTGAATATTAAACCGCATAATCTGCGACCTAGTATTAATAATAATAATAAAAAATAAAAAAACACACGAAAACAGCTCTTTTTATATACGCGCAATGGAGACGATTTTTTTTACGCGCTGTACGTGCCCTCACCTCAACACATTCGCAATCATTTTTTTTTTCATCCCGTGTTTTTATTATCATCATTTTATACATTTAAAACAGGCGGGCCAAGTGCTCTCCAGGGCGTTTGTCATTTGAATAAAAAGCGCGCGCAATGTGCGGTTGAAAAGTTTTTTAACCTGCACCCCCGACGGTATTAATTTACATTTTGTTCCGCCAACCCATCCTTCCTCGGTACTGCCACCTCCGCCGTCGTCGTGTCGTGTGTATATATACGTGAATATACCGTAACAACGGGTTATGTCATTAAAAAAAATAATCTACCCCAGGACAAATTAAATAAGACCGGAAAGGGACGCATATCTATCTATTGTTTGTAATGCATATATATGTACGCTGGCGCACAATTGTTTTCGACGGAATTTTACCACGCGTCTAAATTGGGCAAAAACCACGTGCGACCATCAAAACTCTCTGTTTTTACTATTATGGACACAATGTGGCCCATTAACTTGAAAAAAATGCTACTGTGTTTAATCTGCTAAAAATTTAATATACAAATACAAATATACAATGCACGGTGTGTGTGAAATTCCCGGTTACGAGTGACCGTAAAATGGTTTACCTAGGTCGTTATAGATAAAATAAATGAAAATCGTTTATTATAAACTTGACAAGCGTGTTTAAAAATCAGGCTATACCATTGTGGACGTAATAATGACATCCATCAGTGAATCATAAAAGTAAGCATAATAAGCCGAAAACCGCTTTAAATAATCTTTTTGTCTTCGCTTTACATAGGTGTATAGGTATACATAAATAGTATGATTGGGGTAAGTATCCACTTAAGGTCTTATACACACCTCATCAATAGCACGATGAGATTTAAAGCGAAGTGTAATATAAATATAAATAGTTTGTATAAATTGATGTTCACTGAAAACAAATACATATTGCCTACATTATATTATAGCATCGACTATTGAGAATGCGAATTCGATGGAAGTACCTATAGAAGACTAAATATAATACATAACATTTATGGATTTTCGAAGGCGTATATATACCTAATATTATATACTTTTATACCTCGAAAAGAAAGTATGTAGCACGATTTCTCTCGTATTTTCTGGTTTGAAAAATCGCGAGGTGTAATTACCCGGAAACTTTGGGAAATTGTGCGTGTAAATATACGATTATATAGCTGTAGTGTATATAGTGCGTATTTATATTATATACCCGTGGAAAATACGCGCACACGCGGCTTACCTATATAATATAATAACGTTATATACATATTGTATACAAACGATATTCGTACACCGCTCACTTGCCTCTATCTCTGTGTGTGTGTATCTCTCTCTCTTTCTATATACATAGAATTATGTACATATTTGTTCGGTTAATTGCACGTGTATAACGCACGTTGTGATTATGTATTCGGTCGGGACCCGGCGAGTCGGGGGCGGCGTGGCTGAATAATATAATAATATTAATAATGGAAACGTTAATTAACCGAATCAAAATCGACCCGGACGATATTGTTATACATAATACGCACATGTACAGATATAATATCATACCTGCAGTACACCACCACGTTATTCCGGGCCGGATACGCCTACGCCATTACGGGATTAATAATAATTAGCCGATTTGCGCCGGACGACGATAAAACACGCGGTATATGCATAAACAGCTCGGTGAGCAAAATCGCGGAGGTGGAGGGTAGGACGTGGGATCCGTATATTATAATTGGACCGATGATAGCTGGACTCGGCGATCCCGATGGACCTAACGGTGCACGGAATTTGAGGCCAGCAGGCAGGTATATTGCCAGTATTGGTATTTACCTACCATATATACTGTATCTGAGGGCATATTATAGCCTTATAGGTACTTCCAACGACACAAATAATATCATGTTATGTAACACATAATTTATATTTAAAATATTATATGGATTTTGAACGTTGGAAATCGAATGATGGGTGTACACTGAACAGTATAATATATATACGAATGATATAAAATCGTTTTTACATTGAAAATAGAATAAATAATATATTAAATATTATAATTTATAATGCAGTGTAATAAATATGTACACGTATGAGACGGGGACGGGGGGCCGGAGAGGCGATAAATCATCGAAGGTAATCTGATTATGTCGCGGGGTCCGTCGCTTTTTCGCCAATTCCCGGAGCGGGGAAAATGAAAAAAAAATCCTTGATGAATGCGCGTCACCGTCAAACGAAAAACTCGGCCACCGCCGTCGCAGTGTCGGTCCAACGCGCGTACGATAGATTTATTAGGTCGGTAACACGAAATAAACCTCTTTTTTTTTCATATTTTTATTATTCCCAAATTTATGTTTTCACCCCGGCTCCGTCATTCGATCCCTATACTGCAGCAGCTCATAATTTACATTATTATATTATATTCGTTTGTTAATAAAATTACGGGCAAACGGTTTAGTCTTATACTAGAACACTAGTCTATAATATTAGATATGCAATTGATTTTATTTACGAAAAATAGTCTCGCCGGACTTCTAACGAGAAGTGGTCACGCCGTCGAGGTATATAAAAGTGCCTAAACACCTAGCGAATCTTAGGCATGCAGTCGAGTAAATTATATGTATTATGTACATTAAACATATTATACCATATTATATAGTAATATAGCACATTTATTTAATACTAAGCACAAACGTGCATAACAAATATTATTATAGGTACCGCAAACCGTAGTAAGAACAAAGCGAGTGACGACATGACGAGATTTTATGGACGACTATATACTTGGACATTCATATCGTTATAAATCATTGTAAGTACATAGGTTAGATGAAACGGAAAGATCGCAGGGACGAGTAGTATAATATATATGATGATTATGGCGGTAAAAAAAAATTATAATTATTGTCGGGCCGACTGACAGTGCTGCAAGT